TAAAAAGCAAAAGAAATTAGCTGTGATGTGTTTGTTTTTGTTTTTATTCTCCATCAGTGCTGCTCAGAGTCAAACCACACTGGAGTCCTGCAGTGCCACTTCACCTGGGACCTGCACCGCAAAAGGTCAATACCATTACTTCTCAGGGACAAGATGGAAGACATCCGCACCGAGGAGGGAAATCGATGGCTGGGCCACATTTACAACCTGTGGGGGTTAAGATAAGATAATCCTTTATTTATCCCACAATGGGGAAATTTACAGTGTTACAGCAGCAAAGAGCAAAGATTGCAGACAAAAAGTGAACACAGTACAATTTAAAGAAAAAAGAAAAATTAAGAATGTACAAAAAAATAGATACTAAAAATAGATTTACAAAATAAAAAATAGATCAGCTATTTGACAAAAGTGTAGTCTGTAATATTTAGTGTAACACAGACATGCACACAGTGCACATAAAGTGTAAGATGTTATTGCACAAAGTGGATTGGTAAATATAATATAACATTATTATTGCACAGAGTCAGAGTGAATTGTCCAGTTGTGTATGTGTGTCTTGTGTGATCGACTGGGAGCAGGCTTGGTTAAACAGTCTGACTGCAGCAGGAAGGAAGGACCTGCGGTATCTCTCCTTCTGACACAGCAGGTGGCAAAGCCTGCCGCTGAAGGAGCTGCCCAGAGCTGTTACAGTTCCATGCAGGGGGTGGGAAACGTTTGCCTATAGCTTTGTCACTTTGTAGTGACTGAAATGATAAAGTGACCTAACTATATGATCAGACATTAAAGGGATACTTCACCTTTTGAAACATGAATCTGTATTGACAGATTCGGCTGCTGAGCTGGCAGCTACTGGTGACGTCCAGCAATATAGCAATATAGCGGCTGGAGAAACTCTGGGTAAAATCCCTGGAAAAATTTGGCTGTTTGCGTTCACACATAGCCTAATCTCCGGAGTTTTTCAGGAGATTTCCATATGTGTGAAAAGGGTTTAAGATCAATATTGGAGATGAAGGGGGGGGGAGACAGCTCTCTACAATGTTGAGAATTTTAACTGCAGTACTCATTTTAAACACTACGTGTCTGAGTTACATATTGCTCCTCTAAAACATATTTTCTTCATGATATGCAAAGTTCATGATAGCTTTGCCATCATCCTTCTGTCTCCCACTACCTCAACAGGGTCCAGGGACAGCCCAGGACAGAGCTGGCCTTCTTCACCAGTTTGTTCAGTCTGTTCCTGTCTGCAGTTGTAGTGCTGCTGCTCCAGCAGACCACTCCATACAGGATGGCTGATGCCACCACAGAGTCATAAAAAGTCCTCAGGACTGCTCCCTGCACACCGAAGGACCTGAGTCTCCTCAGCAGATGAAGTCTGCTCTGGCCTTTCTTGTAGAGAGCTTGGGTGTTATCAGTCCAGTCCAGCTTATTATTCAGGTGAACACCCAGGTACTTATAAGAGTCCACTATGTCAATGTCCTTTCCCTGGATGCTCACCAGTATGGGGGAAGTGGGTCTGTGCCTGCGGAAGTCCACCACCAGCTCTTTGGTTTTACCCACGTTGATCTGCAGGCAGTTCCGCTGGCACCAGTCCACAAAGTTCAGGTTGAGTTCTCTGTACTCCCCCTCATCCCCATCAGTGAGGAGGCCGACAATGACGGAGTCATCAGAGAACTTCTGTAGCTGACAGTTAGGTGTCTTGTGGGAGAAGTCTGCAGTGTACAGGGTGAAAAAAAAGGGAGCCAAGATGGTCCCCTGTGGGGCCCCTGTGCTGCAGATGACCCGGTCAGACACACAGTCCCGTGTCCTCACAAACTGTGGCCGGTTGGTCAGATAGTCCAGGAGTCAGGATGTGAGGTGCAGGTCGAATCCTGTGTGTTCCAGCTTGTCCCTCATAAGCATGGGCTGTATGGTGTTGAAAGCACAGGAGAAATCATGTCTGCATGAAGTAGATGACAGCATCATCCACCCCGATGCCTGGCTGATAGGCGAACTGCAGTTTCCTCCAATATTTACTTTGAGGAATTAATTACAGGCGTAACTATAATTTATCATCTTGAAAGGTGTTTCTTAGGTGTTTGGTGAATTTGGGGAAGTGAGGTATCCAGGTCTAATTCACATTTTTATCAGAGTCCTCTTACCTTTCTAATGACACTAAAGACAGCACTCCTTTCCTTTGTTAATCAATGGAGTCATTTGCAAAGCAACACAGCCTGATTTGAATAAACTTCCCCGAACTTCAGGCAGCAGTGGAAACACTAACAACTAATATGACAGAAGCCTCTGAACCTTTTAGTTCTGGGGACATTTGTCACACACTATTCAAAAAAGCCTGTTTTTACAACCGAGATTAACATGTTTATAGCCTAGTTCAAAAAAACAAATAGGTCTGATTAGCTCATGTCTCGATCAGCACACACTGTATGGGGGGGTGAATTTTTTGATGACTCATCCGTTTTGACTTTCTGAACGATACGTATTATCCATAGTAAAGCACATACTTGACATGATTGAGAGGCGGGCGCAATGTAACGGTTTGTAAGGAGGCTTAAAACCTGCCTCAGTTCCAGATATCAGCCCGTCGTTAGCTTGACTGAAAGTTAGGCTGAGACAACATTTCCAGCATGGAGACCGCCTTCAATGGGACTCGTCTTGGTCTTGTCTCGGTCCCGCCCTGCCTTGTTCTTCACTCAGTCTTGATCCCTAAATGTCTGTCTTAACTTGGTCTCGCCCTGCCTTGATCTTGGTCTTCATTGGTCTGGATCCTTAAATGTTTCGGTCTTGTCTCATTCTCGGAGCACTCTGGTCACGGGTATGATTCGGTCTCCATAAGGAATGGTCTTGACTACAGCCTCGCACGGGGCACCAATTATGTTAGGGTTTTATGGAGTCAATCTTGCTATTAAATTAATATTAGAGATGATGACACAAGATGATGACTTCGTAGTGATGTTTATGGTCTTGGTCTTGGTCTTGACTTGGTCTCGCTCTGCCTTGGTTTCGATACCTAAATGTCTTGGTCTTGTCTCGGTCTCGCCCTGCCTTGGTCTTGGTCTTCATTGGTCTGGACCCTTAACTGTCTCGGTCTTGTCTTGAACTCGGAGCACTCTGGTCTCGGTTATGTCTTGGTCTCGGTTTGTGTGGTCTTGACTACAGCACTACTAGGGAATCTAGCAAAAAGTGATTACAGCAATACATCAATTCTTTGAGGAGGAACTTTTTCCTCCTTGAATAAATTGCAGGGAAACTGAGGACTTAAGTTTCCATTCTGAAGAAAGGAGAGTCAGATAACAGCCTGCTGATAAAGAAAGTGGATTTATGACTTCCAAAGTGTCACGCCTCTATCACGGATATTTAAAGCTGCTACTGCACATCATCATGTCATCCACACCAGAGAGCTGAAGCTGGAGCGACTGTAACCAGAGGGCAACATCAAGAGGAAACATCTGCTCGACTAAGTCATCTTCAGAAAACGACTGAGAGGAAGAAACAGCAGAAAGATGAGGTGAGTATGTGACTTGCATACAAAAGTTTCTAATTTAGTAATTCCAAACCCTTTCCTATTAGTCTTTTTCTTCCCCTTTAGCTTCATTATTTTAGGGTTTCATACGTTTACTTTTCTCACTTTGAGGCTTTTGTGGCATTTTTTTTGTCTGGGGTAAAAATTTTGGTTAGTGCGCGCGCCCCATGTATGGAGGCTATGGTCCTCCAAGCAGGTGGCCCAGGTTCGATCCCGCCTGTGGACCCTTTCCCGCATGTCGTTCCCCACTCTCTCTCTCTCTCTCCCTCTCTCTCTCTGATTTCTAATTCTATCCACTGTCCTATCTCTCCATTAAACGCACAAAAAGACCAAAAATTAACTTAAAATGTTTTTTTGATTTTAATTTGTGTTTCCTTTTAAGGAGTCGACATTATGACTGATTGTTTTTTTGTTTATTTTTGAAGAGGTGGAATTATAATTGTATATTTACCTTCAGTAAAATAAGGATTACCACAGAATATAAATACTCTGCTGTTATATAAAAACATACTAAAGGTACACGGAAGTAAGGTATCAGCTGCAGCAGTAAGATGGTTCAAGGTTCATAAATTTAATTGCACACAATCAGGTTGCACATTAACTTTTCAATTGCTGGTCCTTCAGGCAATAAAAACATAAAGTATATATACGTAAATTACATTATAAAGGAAGAATACATTTTAAGAAGAAGTACATGTTAACAACAAAGAACCCCACACGTTCAATAGAAGTTGGAACATTGTGTAAAACGTAAAGATAAAGACTAATTAATTAAAAATAGCACAAAAACAACATGTCAACTGTTGAAGCTGAGACATTTAATGTTTTTTGGAAAACTATGACCATTTAATATTTTATGCTAGTAACACATTTAAAAAAAAGTTGGGACAGGGTCATTAATGACCAAGATGGCGGCGCGAGCGTATCGCGAGGCCCAGCGTCTCTCTCAGATTTGCAATTTTGCAGTAATTTTATTGTTAATTTCGGGTCTGTTCGCACGGAACAGCCTCGTCTTAACATCCTACACCCGACAGGAACTTTTGGATATCGGAATACACCTCCCTGACGATTTAATCAACAATCTTCGACTCATCCCTGAGATCGCCAAAACACCCGAGGCTACGCACTCTACCCGGCCGGGCGGAAGTGCTCGCAGGCGGCGTCGAGACCGTAAACAAAGGCGGGGGAAGCGCGGAGGTATAAGGGCTAAGCTAAAGCTAACACCGCACCGTCTCCCGTTACCCAGCATTTTCCTCGCTAATGTGCGGTCTTTGGTGAACAAAATGGACGAGTTACGACTTCGCATCATCCACAGTAAGAGAATTATGGACTGTAATGTCATGATCTTCACGGAAACATGGCTAAACAACGGAGTACCGGACGATGCTATCAAGCTAGCCGGTCGCCACACACACCGAGCAGACAGAACAGCAGAGGACTCCGGTAAGACCAGAGGAGGAGGGCTGTGCATTTATATTAACAAAGCTTGGTGCACAGACTCTGTCATTATTGGAAGACACTGCTCAGCTAACATAGAGTTTCTCATGGTTAAATGTAGACCTTTCTATCAGCCAAGGGAGCTCAGCTCCACTATTGTAACTGCAGCCTACATCCCCCTGATGCCGATGCTAAAGCTGCTATGAAGGAACTTTACACCGCTATCAGTAAACAACAGACTGCTCACCCGGAGGCTGCATTTATAGTTGCAGGTGATTTTAATCACTCAAACTTAAAGACAGTGCTCCCTAAATTTCACCAGCATGTTTCCTGCAATACAAGAGGAAACAAAACTTGGACCATGTTTACACAAACATCGCAGGGCCTACACCACGACCCCCTCCCCCACCTGGGACAGTCAGACCACCTTTCTTTGTTCCTCATCCCCAAGTACTCCCCACTCATCCAACGTGTGAAGCCATCAGTAACAACGATTAAAGTGTGGCCAGCGGGGACAGACTCTGTACTTCAGGACAAGTTCCATCACACAGACTGGAGTATGTTTGCTTCGCAGGCTACCTTGGGCTCTCACACAGACATTGACACCTACACTTCTTCTGTGCTGGATTATATCAATACCACCATCGACAGTGTTACAACATGGAAGCAGATCACCACGTACCCAAATCAGAAGCCATGGATGAACAAGGAGGTGCGTCTCCTGCTGAAGGCCCGCAACACCGCCTTCAGATCAGATGATGCAATGGCCTACAGCGTATCCAGGGCAAACCTGGATACGCTGGCCATCATCAAGGCCAAGCACTGCTACAAGCTGAAGGTAGAGGAACACTTCTCCAACTCCGACCCCAGACGCATGTGGCAGGGCATCCAGGCCATCAGTGACTATAAACCCAGAAACTCCACCCCGATAACCACAGATGTCTCCTTCCTGAACGAGCTAAATCACTTTTATGCTCGTTTCGATAGAGACAACAGAGAGACACAGACCACGACCAGACCTCCTGCAGACAACCAGCCCCTCTCACTCACCTCCACAGACGTCCACGCTGCACTGAGCCGGATCAACGCTCGAAAGGCTGCTGGTCCAGACGGCACCCCCGGGCGCGTGCTTAGGGCATGTGCGGAGCAGCTCACTGGGGTTTTTACGGACATCTTCAACCTGTCCCTCGCCCAAGCAGCTGTGCCAGCATGCTTCAAAGCCACCTCCATTGTCCCAGTGCCGAAACACTCCAGCCCGACAGGCCTGAACGACTACCGCCCTGTGGCACTCACACCCATCATAATGAAGTGCTTTGAGCGACTGGTCCTAGCACACCTGAAAAACTGCCTCCCACCCACACTGGACCCATTCCAGTTTGCCTACCGCAGCAATAGGAGTACAGAGGATGCAGTCTCCACTGCGCTGCACTCTGTGCTCACATCTGGACAATAACAACACATACGCACGAATGCTGTTTGTTGATTTTAGCTCAGCATTCAACTCTGTCATCCCCTCCAAGTTGAACACTAAACTCGGAGACCTGGGCTTCAACTCCTCCCTCCGTCACTGGATAATGGACTTTCTGACCAACAGACCCCAGTATGTTAGGTCAGGACACACCTGCTCCACCACCATCACACTCAACACAGGCGTACCACAGGGCTGTGTGCTGAGCCCATTCCTCTACTCCCTCTTCACCCACGACTGCAGACCTGTACATGGATCCAACACCATCATCAAGTTTGCGGACGATACAGCGGTGATTGGCCTCATCAGCAACAACGATGACACGGCCTACAGGGAGGAGGTACAGCATCTGGCCGCCTGGTGTGCTGACAACAACCTGCTCCTCAACACCAGCAAGATGAAGGAGATCATCGTGGACTTCAGGAGAGAAAGAGGAAGCACGCACAACCCCATTCACATCAACGGGATGGCTGTTGAACGTGTCTCCAGCTTCAAGTTCCTGGGGACCCACATCACAGAGGACCTCTCCTGGGCCACTAACACCTCCAGTCTGGTTAAGAAGGCTCATCAACGCCTCTTTTTCCTGAGGACACTGAAGAGACACCACCTGTCTTCAGCTGTACTGATGAACTTCTACCGCTGTGTGATCGAGAGCATCCTGACCAGCAGTGTCTCAGTCTGGTACGGAAACTCTGTCGCAGACCGTAAGGCGCTACAGCGGGTGGTAAAAACCGCCCAGCGCATCACAAGGTGTCCACTTCCTGCCATTGAGGATGTCCAAAGAACACGCTGTCTGCGGCGAGCTCATGGCATCCTTAAAGACTCCTCCCACCCTGCCCACAGACTGTTTACCCTCCTGCCCTCCGGCAGGCGCTTCAGAAGCCTCCGGACCAGAACCAGCAGACTGAGGAACAGCTTTTTCCCCAGAGCTGTTTCTCTACTGAACTCTACCCCCCGAACTCTGAACTCTGTCTCTCTCTCTCTCTCCCTCTCTCTCTCCGCACCCTGCTGACCCCCCTTTCCCCTCCATATCACCTCACACCCATCATCCCCCCACCACTCCTCCTGGTCACACACACACATCTCTCATCCATCTGTATTATTGTATTATAGTATGTTCATATTCTTTAAATGATCTGTAAACTTGTATAACATGCTCACTGCATCTTATTCTGTATATTATTAGTATAGCATGCTCACTGCATCTTATTCTGTATATTATTAGTATAGCATGCTCACTGCATCTTATTCTGTATATTATTAGTATAGCATGCTCACTGCATCTTAATCTGTATATTATTAGTATAGCATGCTCACTGCACCTTAATCTGTATATTATTAGTATAGCATGCTCACTGCATCTTAATCTGTATATTATTAGTATAGCATGCTCACTGCATCTTAATCTGTATATTATAATCCTAAAAACACACTTATTTTGTAGCATTACTTATTTATAGCATTTATTTATATTTATTGCATCCCATTAATCCAGCCATCCAGATTTACCTAATAATTCACTTTTTTGGTCTACATCTGTAAATTTTGCAATTACTGTACATAGCACAGAATTACTGTACATAGCACAGACTCTTGCACTCAATTACTGTACATAGCACAGACTATTGCACTTTCTGCTTATTTGCACTTCTGGTGAGATGCCAAACCTGATTTCGTTACTCTATACTTGTATATGTGTAATGACAATAAAGTTGAATCTCATCTCATCTCATCTCATCTCATCTCATCTCATCTCATCTCATCATCTCATCTTAATACCACTCTGCAGTAGGCCTGTCCACCCAAAGGATTTAGCCAGGCTCTCCTTGGTCTTTTTAACGCTCCAAATATTTTCACTGCAAGGTGACGAGTCACGATTACAGGTAGGGCAGTTTATTGCTCTATTTCCACCATCATCATTTGTCGTCTTTTTCACCATCAGAAGTTGGGAACGGTACCAAATAACTGATCTGTACCATCCTAATTTTTTGGTACCCTTCTGTTGGGGTGCCAAGCGTACCGATAAGGTAGGATCTAGACATACCGCTGTCCACTGATTGGTTAGGGGTTAGGGTACCATCAGTTCCCATTCGACAGCGGTAATAAAAGACAAAAACAAAAGTTTCAGCTAACCTTTGTGAATCCAGAGATGTGCTGTCTCCTGGAAACTGTTCCTGAGCCCATGCAGTGATGTCAAAGAGTTTGGTCTGTTTTTCATGAATCTGAGAAGTTTACTTAGTTAGCTGACGATACAAAAAGGGGAACAAAGGCACGATTGAAAGCTCAGGTTGACAAACAAAGCTTCTGCGTTGCTGTGTACATCGGATTTGAAGAGTACAGGAGAAACCGCAAACATAAATACAGTCATAAAAAAGCAGAACATACATGTGCGCTGCTAGATGTCAGCAGGATGAACAGGCAGTGGCTGGGATGGTGTGTGTCATTATTGATAAGTTGTAAGATATAGACCTGCTTGCATAGCACACTTCAAAGAATATCCAAACTAGCTGCTGATGTGTTTAAACGTTTGTTTTTTATTCTCCATCAGTGCTGCTCAGAGTCAAACCACACTGGAGTCCCTGCAGTGCCACTTCACCTGGAACCTGGTCCACAGCAGGCCTAAACTTTTACGTCTCACAGACAAGATGGAGAACTTCAGCAAAGAGAAGGGAAATCGATGGCTGGGCCACATTTACAACCTGTGGGGGTTCATTCAGTATAAGCTGGGGTTAAATGAAGAGGCGAGGAACTTGTTTCAGAAGGCTGCAGAGACCCTCAACAAGATTAGAAATGCAGATGTGGGTCCTTGGTTAGTGGTGAACTACGGGAACCTGGCCTGGCTGCACCACCACCTGGGAGATCTAGAGGAGAGTCAGGCTTACCTGTCAAAGGTTGATGCCCTGATGGAAAAATACCCATCTCCATCCCAGGACGACCTCAATCCAGAGATCTACGCTGAAAAGGCCTGGACCCTGATGTTCTTGGGAGAGGATAAAAAGCTGGTTGTTGATTACTACGAGAAAGCTGCCAGGATGCAGCCGGACATGGTGGATTGGAACACCAGCTATGTCATATGGTTAAAGAACGCCCAAAACTTCAGTGACCCAAAGCTGGACCCTGACCTGTTGGAGAAAATGAGACAAGCCAAGGAACGGGATCCAGAGAACTTGTACCTCATTGCTCTCTACCTTGACCAACTTGCTGATGAAGCAAAAAAGATTCGAGATGAAGTCCGTGAGTTGGCTGGAAATGTGAGCACTCTGTGCTGCAGTAACAGTGGCATGTGGGCCTTACTAAACCTTTACATAGGCTACATATCTGCTGATGACGCCATTGTTTTGGCAGAGAAAGTTCTGAAAGAACATGCAGATGTGCGTTTTCTGAAGAGACTTGTTGCGCTCTACTACAGATGGAGGATCGTTTATAAAAGCAGTAGTTCCCCAGAACAAAGCATGGTGGACAGAGCAATCGCTCTCCACAAGGAGCTGATCTCTCTTTACCCTCACTCTTCACTCAAAAACGAAACAGATCTTGCATCTATCTATGCAATGTCACGTCACAGCAAGGCCAAAGCTGAGCAGATATTTAAGAAACTGCTCAAAAATGACCCTGCAGAACCTTCAGACAAACAGATGCTTTACAACAAATATGCAAATCATTTATACTTTAATCGAAATGACCACCACAGGGCGACACAGTATCACATGAACGTCGCAGCAATACCAGAAAAATCCTACTTCCGTAAGAACAGCATCAGAATCCTGGAGAAGAATAAAGACAGAGAAATTGAGGAGTTTCTCAGAAACCTGCAAGAGCCAAGGCAGTAAAGGTAGGGAGGCAAATTTAGGGGAACAATTATGTCCAAGCAAAAAAATCCAACTAATTTCTATGAAGGCGTTGTGCTTTCACGTGGTAATAAATGAATAATTAATTTCCTGCCCTTCAAAACTGTTTGAAATAAATTAAAGGAAGGTTTGTTTTTATTATTTTCTGAATTATTTTTATTATTTATTATTCGTTTTTTTAGAGATAGGACAGTGGATAGAGTTAGAAACAGGGGAGAGAAAGATAGAGAGAGTCGGGGACGACTTACTAATTCAGGACAGAGTTCCCTTCATGACATCACAAAGGGCAGTAGCCCCTCCCCCAGGTGGGTGACACTCCCACAGCTAGGTGTTTGTTCTGCCCTCTGAGTTTCCCTTCTCACCGTAAACAATAGGACATGGAGCGAGAAAGCCCGAGTACACCCAAGCCCTTCCAGAGAGGGGGCGTGGTCAGACACAGCTAATTTACATATTTAAAGGTACAGACACAGAAACAGCCTGTTCTGAGCAGGGCTGAAATAGAAAGGTTTATAGACATGATCAAATACAGGATCAGAGTGGATTTAGAACAAGAAACTTCACACACATGTTATGAGGAGCTCTGAGACTTTTTAAACTGGTTGAAGAGGAGGAGGAGAACATGTGACCTTTAAATCTTACACCCTAGCTCCTGTTAGGTGTGACGTCCTCTGTAAAGACGGTCGTCATGGTGAATACTTAATGAAGAAATGTGTGAATTGTGATTATCATGTATTTTGCTTCTGTTGTGTTTTTTCAATGCTGTATTTTCAGATTTTAGAATTAATGGATTTTATATGAATGTGCTTCGCTTCAGAAATTTAAAGTCCTCATTGTTCATGTGAAAATGTATTTGCTGTGTGACCTGAAAATTATATATTAAGATGTTCCTGTTTGCTCAAGCTATGTTTAAGCTTTATACCAATAAATGAACAGTGTGCACACCAAGAAATTGTCTTGAAGTGGTTTGTTTCAGTGGTTTCACCCTCTTCAGTTCTAAACTATCGGGAGGACGGTGCGAAATTTAAGCCTCGTCGGATCATAAGCGTCCTAATTCTGCTAAAGCCTATCACACTAAACGATTTTTAAAATCCTGAAGGGGACATATTATGAAAAATCCACTTCTTCAGTGTTTTTGAACATATATTCTGGTAACCTGAGTGTCTACTGACCCACAAAATGTGAAATAAACCCATCCAGTCCTTTGTTTGAGTTCTGCATAAGTCTTACAACACAGAGAAAAATGCTCCATTTCAAATGTGCTCTCCTTGTGATGTCACAGTGGGATTCTGGTTGAAAAAATTACCCTCCCCTCCCCTGGTATCTCCACCCATGGACTCCACCCCCAGCCTCGAACAAAACTTTTGCGCAGATAAGCCATTTTTATTCTTGCTACAGAGGAGTGATGATGGGGGGAAGGGGGTGGAAAACCATTAAGTACTGGGTAGATATTGAGTACTTCTTCATCACATGTTGTAGAGTAGATAATGATTATTTAACGGATAATAAAAGCTGGATAAACCACACAAATCTACCTGGTTACCTCGAGTCGTTTTCACATATGCACTCTGGATTATATCTAGTGGTTAGTTTTCCATTCGTCTCTCAGCAAGTATGCAAAATGTGTGTACCTTATTGTAAAGTGTTACCCATGTATATTGTGACTTGTTGTATCTCTCCAGTTGATTTTCCATAACACACATTGTCTATATGCTGCATTCCTGTACTGACTCCGCCCCACTCCGGGCTCTGGCTCATCATTGATGGTGAATTGAAGTTTTGGGCTGAATCTTGAAATAAAAGGAAAACCGATGTTGAAAAACAAAAACCTCATACTCTGTCAGTGCAACAGGTTGATATTGACAGCATATGAATTTCCCCAAAACACTTGTTTTTCATTGTATATCTTGTTTTGAGTTATACATTATTCTCCTGCCTGTTTATTTTGGAGTCTGTGTGTGTGTGTGTGTGTGTGTGTGTGTGTGTGTGTGTGTGTGTGTGTGTGTGTTTGTGTGTGCCCCAGCTGCTTGGGGCCCCAGATCAGTAGGGGCCCCTCAGGGCTCACAAATGTAAACCAAAGTAGTGCCCCAAAATGACAGTAGGACACCTCCCTAAGGGGGCCCCATCTGACAGCACTCACTGTTGTTGCCCTGCTAAGTGTCACATCCACTATTGCTTTGAAAACCAAAATTTGTTTCTGAAAGTCGACAAAGTAAAATGAAGAGGAATAATCCCCAAGAGACTCTAGAATTACCACAGTGTGAGTGATGATGGAGGAATGTGGTCAGAGCCGTTGACAGCTTGGTCGGAGGAAGGTTAATGATGATTCACACTCCATCGATAAACACATTTTAAAGTATTTTTTTAGTTGTTTAGATGAAATCAAACTGTGGTTTTCAGTTACTGATCATATTCGACTCATCCCGTATCAGTTGAGGAGTTTTGAATAATATTCATAAAGTTATTCATTAGTCGTCAATGTTAACGGCTAATGTTTTGACTCTGACTCTCCTAAATAGCACATTTTTTTCATTTGTCTGGGGAGATGTTTGATCCCGGCTCTCAACACAATTCATCGGTTTCTGTTAATTTGTCTGTAAATACAGAGCCAGAACACACGAGCTGTCTCCTGAGTCCTTTCCACAACCCAGAACACACGGGGTTACATCAGCAATGCACAAACAGACCGTTATATAACGTAACTTTCTACATAGGGTTGCAAACTGGTTATACTACTGCCTAACAAGTCTGTAATACGGCAGAATGAACATCCCTGCAGACATCATTTATTACAGATTGAGCTGCGTCATTACCGGTGATGTCATCATTGTCTCACGTTTAGCAGCTTTACTTTTGTCTCCAAAAAGTTTGTAACCTTGAAAACCGATCTATGTAGCCATTTATCCACGACCTATAGTTGTCATGGTAACAGTTGAATAAAAAAACTTTGCATATGTTTTTTTTTCATAGTTTACAAAAAAATGTGGAAAATAGTAAAATCTGTAGATTTAAAACAACAACATACATGTTACTGAACATTTTCTGTTTTAGGAATATTGTTCAGCGCTTGTTAACATGAAAAATAAGATAACGTGCCAATCTTAATCAATAAAATCTTCTGATTCTTCATTTGAAGTCACGGGTCAAATGGCCCTCGGGCCGCACTTTGGACACCCCTGCTATAGAGTGTCGTGGAAGGGAGAAGTGTCCAAAGCGCACAGCTTATCCACAGGGGTACCTCAAGGGTCAGTGCTTGGTCCCCTTCTCTTCTCCATATACACAAGCTCAATTGGTTCAATAATCCGCTCTCATGGCTTCTCATACCACTGCTATGCTGACGATACCCAGCTCTTCCTGTCATTCCCACCAGACGATGTTACAGTCTCTGCAAGAATCTCATCATGCCTTGCTGATATCTCTAAATGGATGAATGAACAGCACCTTCAACTCAATCTTTCAGAGACTGAGCTCCTTATCATCCCAGCCAGTCCCTCTATGCAACCACAGATCAATATCCAGCTTGGAACAACCAAACTCATGCCCACAAAGTCTGCCCGGAACCTGGGTTTCATGATCGATGACCAGCTAACTTTTAAGGTTCATGTAGCTTCGATTGCCCGGTCATGTCGATTTGCCCTGTACAACATCAGGAAGATCAGACCTTACCTGTCAGAACACGCTACACAGCTCCTGGTACAGGCTCTTGTGATATCACGCATCGATTATTGCAACTCTCTACTGGCAGGTCTTCCTACATGCACTATCAAACCTCTGCAAATGATACAAAATGCAGCAGCACGACTGGTCTTCAACCTTCCCAAAAGAGCACATGTCACTCCGCTGTTCATCTCCTTACACTGGCTCCCCAGTTACTGCTCGCATCAAATTTAAAACTCTGCTGCTCGCTTACAAAACAGTGACAAAAACGGCTCCTCCTTACTTTAACTCTCTCATCCAGGTCTACACTCCCTCCCCCCCCACTACACTCTGCAAATAAAAGGCGTCTGATCCAACCTTCACAACAGGGTCCTAAGTCTCTGACTAGACTCTTCTCCTCTGTCGCCCCCCGGTGGTGGAATAAACTTCCAAACTCCATTTGATCTGCACAGTCCCTCTGCACCTTTAAGAAAAAGCATTTTATTTAAAGGCGCCTTTCAAAGCTCTCAAGGTCACCTTACAGAGCAGAGATAAAAAACAACAACAAAGTAACAACACAACGATAGAATTAACATTAAAAACACAAATGTACAGGATGTAAAGGAGTTATGAGAACGGGTGGAGAATGATCAGACTGAATATGCCAGTTTAAAAAGATGTGTTTTGAGATGAGATTTGAAAATGGAGAGAGTGTCGATATTACGGATTTGTGGTGGGAGGGAGTTCCAGAGGTGGGGGGCAGAGCGGCTGAAGGCCCTGGACCCCATGGTGGACAGGCGGGCGGGTGGTGCAGTGAGTTGAATGGAAGAAGAAGACCTGAGAGTGCGGGTAGGTATGTTGATGTGCAGGAGTTCAGAGATGTAAAGCGGAGCAAGGTTGTGGATGGCCTTGAAGGTGAGGAGCAGAATTTTGAAGGTGATGCGATGTTTAACCGGGAGCCAATGAAGCTGCTGTAGGACAGGGGTGATGTGATTAACAGAGGGCGTTCTGGTGATGATGCGAGCGGCAGAATTCTGGACCAGTTGAAGTTTGTGGATGGACTTGAGAGGGAGACCAAAGAGAAGGGAGTTGCAGTAGTCAATGCGGGATGTAACCAGGGTGTTGACGAGGATGGCAGTACTGCTGGGAGTGAGGGATGGGCGGAGGCGATTAATGTTACGTAGATGGAAATAAGCAGACCGGGTGACGTTATTGATGTGAGCTTGGAATGATAGTGTGCTGTCAAGGATGACACCCAGACTCTGAACCTGAGGGGAAGGGGAAACTGAGGAGTGGTCAATAGCCAGTGAAAAACTGTCAAGTTTGGAGATTGTTGATTTGGTGCCGATGAGGAGAAGCTCGGTTTTGTCACTGTTTAATTTGAGGAAGTTGCAGGTGAACCAGGATTTGATTTCTTGCAGGCAATCCGTCAGGGAAGTGGGTTTGGTGGACAGATAGAGCTGGGTGTCATCCGCATAGCAATGGAACTGGATGTTATACTTACGGAAGATA